TGGTGAAAATGGCTATCATGCACCGCTGGAATATAGTCGGTGCATTACACAACCCAAATGGCATCCTAGAAAAGGCAAAGGTACCATATGGACAAGTGAAGGTGGTCTTCTCCTAATCTTCCGGAGCAATCAAGATTTGGTTGTACCCAGAATACCTATCCAAGAAACAGTAGAAGGCACGCCCAGCAAGTCGATCTAACATCTGATCAAGAAAAGGCAATGAAAGTGATCCTTGCGGGTCACTTTATTCAACTTGCGGTAATCCATGCACACCCTCCACCCGGTGATGGTCCTGGTAGGAATCAACTCATTTTGTGCATTGGTAACCACGGCCATACCACCCTTCTTCAGTACACATTGCACCGTCGAAGTCCAAATGCTATCAGATATGGGGTACACAACCCCGACATCCAACCACTTGCTCACCTCCTTTTTCACAACTTCTTGCATTGCCTCATTCAACCTCCTTTGATGTTCCAAGAAGGGTTTGTATCATCTTGCAGAATAATCTTGTGCATACAAAATGCGGTTCTTATCCCTCAAATATCAGTTAAAATCCATCCGATTGCCTTCTTCCGCTTTTGGAGCACTGCCAATGTGGCATCAACCTGCATGTTAGTAAGACAAGAGGAAAGAATAACTGGCAAAGTTGAATTAGGGCCTAAGAATTCATACCTGAGGTATGGAGGCAACGGCTTCAACTCCAAAATCGGAGGTTCCTTGATTGAAGGCTTTGTTGGTGGGGTCTTCCTATTCTCTAGATCCAAAGAGAGTTTCCGAGGCTCATAAGAGTAAGAGCCCATTCCATGTAAAGCATTCACATACTCCACTCGGCTTTCATCCTTATTTACATCAAGATTCAACAATACCACCTCGAGAGGATCTTCCATATTGATCATTGCACTAGTATCATCAACTATAACTGCCATGACAAGATCCACAAAAGAGCACACTTCAGAACTGTAAGGATGCTACATTGATTTGCACACATGAAAGACTACTTTCTCATCACCCACTCGGAAGGTGAGTTCCTCTGCTTCCACATCAACTAAGGCCTTCCCAGTAGCAAGGAAAGGTCTTCCCAATATGATCGGAACCCCATAATTTACCTCACAATCCAAGATCACAAAATCACTCGGCAAGATAAATTTGTCCACCCGGACAAGAACATTATCGATTATACACAAAGGTCTCTTCATTGTTCTATCCGCCATTTGCAATCTCATGGAAGTCGGCCTCGGTTACCCAATACCCAAAGTTTTGAAAACTGAGTAGGGCATCAAGTTGCTACTTGCCCCCAAATCACATAGAGCCTTAGCAAAGTCTGCACTCTCAATGGTTCGAGGAATGGTGAAAGCATCGGGATCTTGTAGCTTCAGGGCCATTAAGTGCACTATTTCACTAACTTGATGGGTCATCTTGATAGTTTCACAATCCATGGATCTTTTCTTTCTCACCAAATCTTTCATGAATTTAGCATAACCCGGTATTTGCTCTAGAGCCTCCACCAAATGCACATTAATGGATAAGCACTTCATCATGTCAATAAAATTCTTAAACTGATTCTCATTTTTCTTCTTCACAAGCCTTTGAGGATAAGGTGGAGGTGGCCTTGGCAAAGGAGCCTTGGCTTTAAGCAAAACCGTTTCCGGCATGTCTATTACGTGTTCCCTAGACGGGTTCACGTCATTTTGAGTTTCCACCTCGGCATCTTGGATATCAATCCTCACTTCCTTATTCATGTTCTCATCAATCACATTTTCAACCACCAAAGGGATCTCATCCTCTTGCAACTCAACTTCATCACTCAAAATTTCTTTTTGTTTGAAGGCATTCACATCACCATCGTCCACTTCTTGTAGTTACCGTCATTACATGCCCGGAATTGTTCCCACCCTTTGGGTTTACTACTGTATTACTTGGTAGAGCCCCCTTAGGGTGAGTATTCAAGGATTGCGAGATTTAGCCTAATTGAACCTCCAAGTTTTTGATTAAAGTATTGTGGGAAGCCAACCGAGCATCAAAGTCCGCATTCTTTTTCATCATATGTTCAAACATCATTTCAATTCTCCCCATTTCATTATTGGAAGAACTAGGACCTTGGGATGGAAATGGGGGTGGATTGTTCGGTTGTTGATACATTGGGGGCCTTTGAAAGCCTTGCCCCGATTTCCTTGGTTGCCATTGTTCCAACTACCTTGATTGTTGTTTTCACCCTAGTTGTTGTTGTTGCCACTCCAATTACCCTTATTGTTCTGGTTGCCCCAATTGGAATTTTGGTTGTTGTTCCCCTAATTACTATTCCCTTGTTGTTGTTGATTGCCCCAATTACCTTGGCGTCTCCATTGTTGTTGGTTGGAAGAATTGCCCCTTTGGCCCTGATAATTGTTCACATATTTCACTTCTTCATTCTGCCCATCATAACCATCATCTTGGAATCCACCATTATGATTGTCATATTGATCCAAACTCCCTTGGTTTTGTTGACCTCTTTGTCTTTTTTTGTTCACTAACATGTTGACACCCTCCATAGCATATACTTGGCGTGGATTTTGAACCTGGTGTAACTGTGCCTTTGCTAGCTGGTTCATTGTTGTTGTCAACTCTGCTATTGCCTGCCCATGATCATGTAGATATTTGTATAAGTGAGTGACCGTGTGGTCACCCTGTGGCACATTGGCTCTACTTTGCCAAGCGGAGGACGTACCAGTCATCTCATCAAGAATGTCACAAGCCTGATCATAACAGCTTCATGAAATTACCCCCGGCAAGTTGGTTCACTATGCACTGATTTGTTATATTAATGCCCTGGTAGAATGTCTGTTGTATCATTGCCTCAGTCATATCGTTGAGACATTCCTTTACCATGGTTCTGTATCTCTCCCATATCTCATATAATGGTTCGGTGGTCTCCTGCTTGAAAGTTAAGATCTCATCCCTCAATGCTACCATGTGCCCCGGCGAGAAAAACTTTGCAATGAATTTATCCGCCAACTCATCCCAAGTAGTGATGGAATGGTTGGGAAGTCGTTCAATCCAATCCAATGCCTTCCCTCTAAGTGAGAAAGGGAATAATCTCAACCAAAGTACATCCTCTGACACATTAGTTTGCTTGCTCCCCTAACAGGTATCCACAAAACCCTTAAGATGTTTGTAAGCATTCTGATAGGGAGCACTCGTGAAATACCATCGTTGCTCCAACAAAGTCAGCATCACATTTGTAATTTGAAAATTGCCCGCACGGATCCGGGGTCGGACAATTGTACTAGCATATCCTTGGTTGGGAAGCACTCAAGGAGCCACTCTTGGAGGTGGCGGGGGAGGGTCTGGAACATTATCATTGACCTGACAGCCTCTCCTTTGAGCTTGAGGTACTATAGGAACCTCATCATCAATATTGTCATCTACCTCCTCCCCCAGCGGAAGATCTCCAAGAGGTGCATTGTTTGCTGCCATTTTGTACCTGAATTTGCGACACACACAAATTAGTAATGCAGAAGGAAAGAAGAACAATACACAAAACTTTTTAGATAGATAGCCAAAACCGTTAGCTCCCCAGAAATGACGCCAAAACGTTATCGGGACCAACCCTACACCACTACAAAGTGGCGAGAGTGATCGAAGCAGCTTTTACCCGAGATGATCGGGATCGAATCCACAGGGAGCTAGAATTGGGAATTGGATTCCTATCTAAGCTAGAAATGCATAGTGCTCTTAATTGCACTTCCAATCATAGTCGGGTGTTTTGTTACTTCTAATTTTTATGCTAATAGTATGCTAAATTAAAATAAGATTGATTACTTGTAAGGTTTTCTAAATAGTTAAAGAGGCAGTAGGGAAGTAACTTTCTCCTAGGTGAATACTAAATGGGATCTAAAGCCTAAGGCAAAGAACTTATGATGGGGATTGCGATATAGCCAATGCACGGAATTACTCACTCTATACCTCTTGGTAGCTTGAGTGACTTTGCCCTAATTGACTTTTTCAAGACCAATTGGGTGTCAAAATTGTGCAAGCAATATAGGCTCAAATTGGGTATTACTATCTCTAGGTTTAACCCTTTAATTGAGGCTATCAATATCTTGATTACACCCCAATTCCTCGTTGGACTGATTTTCCTAGACTCAAGCTCTCTTTCTCAAGAAGAGCCCAAGTCAAATAGGCACAAATTAGTTTTTGCAACCACTAATTCAACATGAAAAATACAAATCAGTCTAAATATCAACTACCCATAAACATCGAAGCATTAAATCAAAAGACCCATCAAATATCCATACTAGGGTTGAGCCACAACCCTAGCTAATGGATCTAACTACTCATAATAATGGAACAAAACAGAAAGATAGATGAAGAATAACCCATAAATTATGATTACAAACTAAGATAAGATTCAGTATTAATCTAGCTACAAATTACTCAAAATGGAATAAAACAACTGTTCACGTGCTCTGGGATCTAACATATTACAAAAGATAACCTAAAAATGTAAAAAGAAAGTATTTATATTAGGCCAAATTTTTTGGACAAAAATACCCCTGCAGAGGTACCGCGGACCGCGAAAAATGTATCGCGGCCACGGTGAGGCTTTTTAGCTTGACTTTATGGGTCTCTGAATCTAGCCACCGCGGACCGCATAAAATGCTCCACGGCTGCGATGGCTTCATCGCGGTCCGTACAAAATGCTCCGCGGACCGCACTGGCTTTAATTGTCCAAACTACCAACTCTCTGAATCCTCTCTCCACGGATCGCATGAAATGAATTGCGGTCGCGAAGAGGGTACTGCGGTCCGCACAAAATGGGTTGTGGCCGCAGTGCTTGAGCTTCCAAAATCTGCACCTCTCTGAATCTCCTCACTACGGACCGCACTAAATGGATTGCGGCCGCGGTGGGTCTGTTGCAACTGTGCTTTGACTTGTTCTTGGTACTTATGCATGTTTCACTCCTTTTTAGCTAATTTTGACTACTTGTCACCTTTTTGACCAAACCCTGCAAGCAAGCACAACATGTAAGTCTTTTGGGACTATTTGTATACATTTTTAATCAAAACTCAAGTAAAACGGAAATGAACTAGAATCCCTAATTATCACGGCCTCTCCTTCGCCGACATGCTACTGCATCTGCAGTCCCAACTGGTGGAACATATATCGTCCAATAACCTGCACAACATGTAAAATATTAATTTAGAAATGGTAATATTAACGTTATTACTAAGTATTCATTAAATGGTAATGTTACCAAATAACATACCAACGCCTCATGCCTCCTGGCGTATGGAACGAATCGACCTCTAGCGTGATGAACGGGATTCCCGAAGATAAGTCAAGTAATGTTGTGGTACCAGCCGATATACGCATGCTCATAATCCATAAGATGGGCTGGAGGGGGTGGTGGAATCAGGTCATGCCACTGGTCCCAACTCTCGATCTGCGCCTCTAGCCGTGACTCATATGCCTGGTCAACCTTCGAACGATCATCCCGCTGGTAATGAGTCCTAACCTAAGCGGGCGGTGGAGGTACATACTGCGGTCGACCAAACTGGCGAAGGACTCGCTCGGTGGCATGATGCTCGACAATATCGAGACATACGAACGGGGCGGAAGAACTCCACATAAGTCGCCCGGTCGAGCAATAATCGGGAAAACTAGCTATTAGCGCGTCGCTATAGGGCGTCCAAATGAACTATCACGGAAAAATAGGAACCGTGAGTATACGCAACACATATAAATCCAATCCAAATAAACTTTAAGTATAGAATTACATGCACGTCCTCTAGCATATCTAACAAATCTCTGCAATACAGGAGATTATGTCGAGCCTCGTACTCGCGTCTGTATCTCCGCCTCTCAACCCACCTCCTAGCCAAAGGGAGAAACGGTGGAAGTGGTGCATCCTGAGCTATGGGTGGTAGAGGTGGCTGAAACTGCAGGAACCGCTCCCAGGCCCAAACCTAATATACAATTTGGACGTAAAATTTAAGGTATATTTTTATGATGTATGTTATAATGAAGAGATTATTTGTCTATGTTTTCATCTGCAGCAGCGGCATAAATCCTGCAACGTCTCGCTGGGTGCCCATGCATGCCCGACACATATGCCGGTCCAAGTAACCGTCAACGAAATACGACTAGACCCAACCAATACACCCTCATCCTCTGGCCGGAAACCAGTGAGTCGCTGCAAAGTCTCCAAGTACTGAGCTCTCGTATAATCTCTCATGCCTCGTGGCAAAGCAACAACAAGTCCATCAACCAACAGCCCATGGTTAAATGGAATATATGCGTCTCTGGTCGCCACCGCTCTATCAAAGCCGTGAGCAGCGACCAATCCAGCTGCAGTCGGCCAATCTCAATGATCCTATAAAAGCCCGTATCCTGCAGGAGTCTGACTACAGGGGGATGGAGCTGGCGTTCCTTAAGAAAGTCCCAGACATCGTCTATCCTCCTAGAACGTAAAGTTTGGGCCAATAACTCCCTCTCCCATATGTAGGAAGACATATTCTCGGCATGTAGCTGTAGTAGCTCTAGAGAGGCAGGTCCCGGATGCAAAAGCGGAACCGCCATGACGACTACTGTAAATTGAACAAAATTAATTACATTATTTTTCTTTTCCACTGCTTAAATATATTGCAATACCTTGAATATTAAATTTTATTCGATATATTTACTATATTGTTAATTAGGTTGATACATTTTCAATATTATACTTTTATTTTTTTATACGTTACTTTAATATGTTAGTTTTATTATTTTATATGTTTGTTAGTTATTCACCTATTTTTTTAGTACACATGATTTAATTATTAAATATTCATATTTTGGTTCCGGACACAATATTTTAGGCCCAGTAACACCAATATATCCTGAATTCTTATGTTCATGATGAAATTTTTTTTCCGATTTTTCACTCAATAGGTCTGTTATTTTATATGTTATGTTATTATTATATATGTTAGTTTTATTATTTAATATGTTAGTTTATTATTGTATATGTTAGTTTTATTATTTAATATGTTTGTTAGTTATTCACCTATTTTTTACTACACATGATTTAATTATTAAATATTCACATTTTGGTTTCGGACACTATATTTGAGGCCCAATAGCACCAATGTATCTTGAATTCTTATATTCATGATGAGAATTTTTTTCCAATTTTTCACTCAATAGGTCTGTTATTTTATATGTTAGTTTATTATTGTATAAGTTAGTTTTGTTATTGTATATGTTAGTTTTATTATTTAATATGTTAGTTTTATTATTTTATATATTAGTTTTATTATTTAATATGTTAGTTTTATTATTTTATATGTTAGTTTTATTATTTAATATATTACTTTTATTATTTAATATGTTATTTATTATTGTATATGTTTATTTGTTTGTTATTGACTTATTTTTTACTATACTAAAATTAAATAATTAATTTTCATAACTATACAAGATTTAATTATTAAATAATTACATTTTGGTTCCAGACACAATATTTGAGGCCCGGTAGCACCAATGTATCCTGAATTCTTATGTTCTTACGTTTGTTCACTATAATTGGAGATAATTTATGTTTGAATATCAGTTTTTTGACGTATTTTTGAGAATAAGAGATACTTAAATAATTCATTTCTATAACTACAAGGATACTACACTAAAGGGCACTACATTTTACTATGCTAAAAGGTCACTATATTACAAATATGAATACTACATTAGGCCACAAGATACCACTACAGGGTACTAAAGTAAAAATTTATCTAGTTTACTAGTCTTTTAGCAAATTAATAATCTAAGCTGGATAAAAATAACAAATCAATTTAATCACAAAACAATCAAGAAATTACATATACCACAGTAAAAAGTAACTAATCAATATTTTTTAACAACTAATAACAATTTCCCTATTGTACAAATTATTTTAGCACACTAATACTATAATCCGGATAAAAAACAACAAATTAATTAAATCATAAAACAGTCACAAAATAACATAGAGCACATAAAAAATAACTAATATGCATTTTTATACAAGTTTTATCAAAAACGAAATCGAAATACCTCAATTTGAGGTTTTAGGAAAGTCGAATATTTTGTGATTTTGAGCCGAAACAACCAACAGCGTCCAAGATTACTCCTTAGCTAGCGCATGGGACCGAGAATCTATACTTTATGTGGGACGGGTGGGCTCCACTCAAGCTTTTAGTATTTAAAAATGGAGAAGAGGGGACCGTTCTGTTTCTCTTTTGGGGGAAGGGAAGAAGACGTTATATTATAACGTCTTAATAAAAGACGCTATATTTTTCCGCTTTTTTTTAATTCAAATATAGCGTCTTTTTAAAAGACGCTATATATACTTTGGTAACTATTTTTTTGCACACCTTTCGGTCATTTAAGTCAAAAGGAATCACATTTTTGTTCCGGATTCCATTGAAGAATGAGTAATGGAAGGCAGTAAATGCCATATTCTCTATAACGGACTATGTACTTAATGCAATAGAATATTCTTCATTAAATGTCGCCGGGTGTCAGGGATTTATTTCGCCTTTAAGATCATCATTCCCTTCGGGGTCAAGCGAGATTGTCGTCTTCAGACCTGGTTGCCTTCTGCCTTCGGTTACACGTGTCGCTTTATTATGCTTGCATTTAGTATGAACATATTTTACCCTATACAGCTAGTCCTCCTGCTTTCCGGTGGCACATCTTTGTATTTGTCACACCTCCTTTTTCTACCTACACCCCGGAAAGGGTATAAGTAAAGGGAGTTTTTCCAATTAAAGGACAATCAAAACGAGATTTATTATAAAGATTCAGAGTCGCCACTTGGGAGATTTATGATGTCCCAAGTCACAGGTTGAATCCCGAATCGAGGAAAATATTGACTCTGTTTAACAGTCCGCGATCCAGAAATCCGGGTAAGAAATTCTGTTAACTCGGGAGAAGGTGTTAGGCATTCCCAAGTTCCGTGGTTCTAGCACGGTCGCTCAACGGTTATATTCGGCTTGATTATCCAATTTAAGAACTTATGTGCAAATTTAACCGTTTAACCACTTTTATTTAATTTTTAAAGAAGATTGAACGTCGTTTAAAACATATCTTTGAATCGCGCCACATGAAATGCACCCGCAATTCTAAACATATTTTATTCAACGTTTTGGGATTTGATTTGGGTCACATGAAATGCACACCCGAGTTTAAGAAGGTAATATTATTAAACTAACGAGTCGAAAGTAATTACGAATTTGCAATTTCGCTAGAGCCATGAAAATTCGCTAAATGGCGTGCCTCGAATTCTAAGGATAAAAACGAAGTGGGTTAAAATAAGGGCCATGCACTTGAGATTTCATTTGGCATGGCACGCTTCGAATTATTCTAAAAGGTTTTACTCAACTGAAGCAAACCACGGATATTCATGAATTATTTTTCTAAGACTAGTTTGAAACTATTATGAGGCTATAAATTATTAAGCCTGTATTGTTCAGTTGCAGAACTATCAACAAAACACCATAAAACTATATATATGTATCCCTAAAGCAATGTTTATTTACTAACAATGACGATCAGAAGAGTTATGGCAAGAATTAACTTCTTATTACATTTTTAAAAAGTAGCCACTAGAAGAAAAAGGAAAATTATAGACTAAAGTTCAAATACGACAATAACACTGCGATTAATCAATAAACAAATAGAATGGAGAAATCAGATTAACTACAGACAAAATATTTCACTGTTCCAAATCCACAAGATGCCAAACTGCCAAATTGAACCCCTCCATTAACACCTAGCTAGAGTTATATCACAGTTCCTTTAGTATTAGAAGACCAGATCTCATTAAGGACACAAAACGAACGTAGCATTGAACAAAGCGTAAGCAGCAAAAGAGACGATTGAAACAACAGATCAAATAAAGGAACGGACCTTCAAAAGAAAGCTTTCTTCATTAAGAATGATCCTTCAGCAGACATTTGCAGCGTCAGTTATTTGACACGAACAAAGATCGAAATCGGCGCCGGAAACCTCAACAAACCTCGTCGTCACCTCGAATTCAAACCGGAATCAACCTCGGCTCATCTCGTTGGACCTGGACTCGAACTCAGCTCTTGAAAGAAGGCGAGCGTGAAGAAAACGCCAGGTGAAGAAGACTGCGATTTGGATTTTGAAATTTGAATGACTGTATTTTAGCGTTGAAAAGAAAGAGAGTTTTGGCTGCTTTGGTGAAAGAGAGTGGTGTGAGGTTAGGTCGTTTGGTATCAAGCTTCGCCGGAAATGGTAGCTTCGCGGTGAACGGAGGTCCAGCGACGATGGTAAGCTGGGTGAGGTCGCTTGGTTCTATTTGTCGCGTCTGGAACTCGTTAATTCGACGAGCTGGTGGAGCTCGTTTTTCCGGCGAGTTTCAGACAGAGACGGGGTCGTTTGACGATTAACGTTCAGGGGTCGTTGGTGTTTTGTCCGGCGAGCTGGGTTGACGGGGAGATGTAGAGGGTCGGCGCCTGGGTGATCGGCGTGAGGTCAGGCGCGGGGTGTGGTGATTTTCGGCAAAGGGTCACTGTTTTTGGGTTGTTCTGCTGCGCAGCCTTTAGCTTTTTAGCCTTCCCATTTCTTCGTTTCTTTCTTCGTTCATGCGCAGCTTTTGTTCATATCCCCCCTCTCTGTTAGGTGTTAGCTTCTTATATATACATAGGTCTAGGTTAGTTTTGTAGGGTTTTTAGGTTAAGGGGTATGAGTCTAAGAATTATGGGCTTGACAATTGTGGGTTAGGTCCAAAATTAGGCCTAAAGATGGGTTGCTCGAGTCCAAGCTCTATTCTTTCGCTGCGGACGAGATTAAAAATACGGGCCCATTTGTTAATTATTCCTACTATTAAAATAATTATTAAAATAAAACTAACCATTAAAGCAAATCTATTTTTGGTATTTTCAAATATCATATTAAAATAAAAATACGACACTATTTTTGCATATATTTTTTAAAGAATTTTTTAGATTAAAAATGACTACAAAACATTAATGAACCTATTTTTGTGATTTTTTGTTTTCTTGTAATAAAATTAAAGTAAAAGAGTCAAAATTACTTGAAATATCAATATTATGCCTAAATTAAATATTTTATGCTAATATATAAGAAATCTTGAGGAGGGTCAAAAATCACATGTCTACAGCTGCTCCTCTTTGACTGGAAACGCGAAGAGTTTTTAGACAAAGAATGACTAGACAGGTTTTTTTACCCGACCCTTATTTGGAGAGACTAAAACTAAGAGAGAGGGGAATTTGACCGAGCCCGGATGTCTGAGTTGCCTACATATCCTTGGCTATAAAGGAATCAGGCCACGTGTAGTTCAGAGGTGAGTGAAATGATGGAGTATGCCGAGGTGGAGAGCCGGTCGAGGTGTCGTTCCGTCGAGGTTCCGGTCCGCAGTCCTGCTATTACATCAAAATCAAAACATGAAAAAGACTAGCTAAGCCTATCAACTACGAGTTACAAGATTCCTATCTATAAGTCTTCTGAAGCTTGATCTTGAGTCTTGAATGGTTCTTCATGCAGACTTTAGATTTGAACCTTGGCGCTTGTTAGCTGCAGGTGCTAGCTCGTTCGTCTACAGCTTTTGGGTCAGGACCGGACATGTAGTGCTTGTGACTTCCACCACGTCTTAAGCAGTTCACATCTTTCATCAACTTCTGCATTTGGATTCACTTCTTGCCTTTCTCTCTTTTCTTTATTGTGACTAACTTCTGTTGATCACCTCGAACTGTTGACTCGCATTTTTGCCGCGAGATTCTTTGGTTGCTGACTTGAATTGCAATCTGAGATGCTTTTCCTTTTCTTCAGGTGGACGCCTGACTGTTGAACTCGAACCGTCTTCTCTTGTTACTTGACACTGTTTTCCTTTGCACCTTGAACCATTTTCCCCTAAAACTTGAACTGTCTTCCTTCGAAACTGCTTTCCCTTGAAACTCGAGTTTTCTTCCTTCGACATTGCTTTCCCTAGAAATTTGAGTTGTCTACCTTGTTCTCCAGGTGGGCGTCTGATTACAACAAAACCGACATAACAAAGAAATTTTCTGCCCCAGTTTGCACTAGGAAGATTTGTGAGTTGTTAGCAAAATTGTAAACCACTTGTACTATTGATGCAATGATGAAATTAAACTAAAGAATAGACTAGGAAAATTATAAACTAAGCTTGACTAAAAAACTGACCCTATTCTCCAGGCGGGGCTCCCTGACTGCTAACTTGAATGTATTTCATGCTCTCCAGGCGGGCTCCTGACTTCAACAAAATAGACAAAACAAAGAAAATTTTCTACCCCCAGTTTGCACTAGGAAGATTTGTGAGTTGTTAGCAATATTGTAAACCAAAATATAACTTGAAATACCAAGACTAGGAAGTGCGTCTCCTAGGGGTGGAACATTAATGACTTAAACTAAGAAGTGTGTCTTAGGAATGAATTTAAATGATCGAGACTAGGAAGTGCGTCTCCTAGGGGTGAGAACTTCAGTGACTAAAACTCATACGATCCAAACTAGGAAGTGCGTCTCCTGAAAGTGTATCCTAAAAAAACCAGACTATGAAGTGCGTCTCCTAAGGGTATAACTTTAGTGCGTAGAACCAGGAATTGCGTCTCCTAGGGGAAAGCTCAATGTAGGAAGTGCGTCTCCTAAAACAAAAATATAACCTGAAAAACCCAGACTAGGAAGTGCGTCTCCTAGGGGTGAAACTTCAATGACTCAAACTAGGAAGTGTGTCTCCCACGAATGAACTTAAATAAACCAGACTAGGAAGTGCGTCTCCTAGGAGAAAATCTCAATTTAGGAAGTGTGTCTCCTAAAACAACAATACAACCTGAACTACCCAGACTAGGAAGTGCGTCTCCTAGGGGGTGAAATCTCAATTTAAGAAGTGCGTCTCCTAAAACAAAAATATAACCTGAACTACCCAGACTAGAAAGCGCGTCTCCTAGGGGTGAAATCTTAATTTAGGAAGTGCGTCTCCTAAAACAAAAATATAACCCGAAAGACCCAGATTAGGAAGTGCGTCTCCTAGGGGTGAAACATCAATGACTCAAACTAGGGAGTGCATCTCCTAGGAATGAACTTAAATGAACCAAATAGGAAGTGCGTCTCCTAGTGGTAAAATCTCAATTTAGGAAGTGTGTCTCCTAAAGCAAAAATATAACCTGAAAGACCCAAAATAGAAAGTGTGTCTCCTAGGGGTGATGTGTGATCTTCTCAACAGCCTTTGCGTAAGCAGAATTGGGGCATTACACCTGAAAATTTCAACCTTCCAAGCTTTGATATGAACATAGCTTCCGTCCCTGTTTTAGACAAAAAAAACTTGTGAGTTTAAACATGGTGGTTGGTTTGTGGCCTTGACTTTGTGGCAGCTGCTCCTTCACTTGCCATGATAACTTTGATTTCACCTTGAAAGACATTGCTCGCTTATTGACTAACCAATTTCTCTGTCACCCTTATCACAAAAAATACCTCTTCTCCGTTCAGACCCATACCCTCTATCTATTGCATTGCTCATGAACTGACGTCTACCAAACCTTGTGTTTCACATGAATCCCAAACCACGTTAATTGCCATCCACTTAGTGCACATGCTGTTTTGTCCTGACTTAAATCATTGGACTTGGCCTTGAAGTCTATTGTTCCCTCACTTGTCACGATAACTTTGATTTCTGCTTGGAAGACCTCGCTTGTCATTGGTTAACCACTTTCTTTGTTGATCTCATCACAGAGAATACCTTTGACCCGTTCACACAACATCCTCTATCTGTTGCACTGTTCACGAATTGAAATATACCAAACCTTTGTATTTCTCATGGACCCTAAATCATGTTTATCGTTACCAACTCCGTGCGCTTGTTGTTCTTTCCTGACTTATGACACTGTGACGTGCTAGCCAGATCTCGTTTTGTGCAATTGGAAAGCTGGTGGCAAATTTTGAAGCCATTTCTCACTTATTTTGACCAAACAGACTCAGGAAGAGGAAATAAACAAGACAAAAGGAACAGAGTAAAGGACAAAGGAAAGAAGTGATTCCTAACAAGAAAACTACAAAGTAAAAACCTATCAGATGCGGATACCAACTATAATGACCATGACATGCACCTGTGGCCTATTTTGTTGAGCAAGTCTGATGTCCAACTCCTGTTATACCCCTTAAACCATGAAACTGGGCTTCAATGCTCCAATTATTCAATCTGACTCATAATCCTTATTCGACTTGTAGTGCCCGGAGAGTTTTCATCATCAAGCCTCTCTCATTTGTTCTTTCTCTCAACTTATCGTCGCCTTACGGTGCCCGCGAGGGTTTTCACCAATAAGACTCTCTCATTTTTGGATTTCTCTCAGCTCCCGTCGCCCTACAGTGCCCGTGAAGGTTTTCACCAATAAGACTCTCTCATTTTCATTATTTTTCTGCCTGGGCTAGAGTATTGCCCCTGATATGAATTACCTCTTCTTGCTTGACTTGGCATCTCTCGAAGACTGATCGGAAGGTCTTTCTTTGGACCGTAATATGGGCTTTTTGGATAGGGTTAGAAAGAAGGGGTATCAAAGGCTCAAACCAATTCTCATGGGTTCAAAATTACAATTTTCGGAATCAGATTTCTTGCAACAAACACAACTTCTGCCCTAGTTTCTTGCTTGGGGACTTTTGGATTTTTTTTTGATGGGACCGAACCGTGAGGTTGCCTACATATCCTTAAAAGGAATCAGGTCGAACGCAGTTCATGACATAGGAATTGCTTCGTTTTTGTACTTTTCTCTCTCTCTTTTTTCTTCTTTTCCTCTTTTTTCTCTTTTTTCTTTTCTTTCCTTTTCTTTACTCTTTTTCTCTTTTTGTTGTTTTGTTGTTGCTTTTTTCTTTCTTCTTTTTCCTCTTTTTTTTTCCAACTTCATTTTTCTTCTCTCCTTTTTCGTTCTTTTCCTTTTATTTTCCTTTACTTATCTTTCACGCTTGTGTTTCTGATCTTTGCTACTGATTCCGAAAGAGGGGTATGAAAGAAAATAAATGAGGCTCAAAGGGGTAATGAAGGATAAAGTGTTTAGATAGCAGAACAAAATGCCTTCGTCATTCCAATCTCCAAAACATGCCAAGTGCAAACTACACAATTAAACAGACCAAGGAGAACATTTGTAACATCTTTTGATTGTACTAGACTTGATAACCAAATCCACACATTCGCCTTTTACATCTGTTAATTACCAAGCCCCATTGGACAACACCCTCACTCTCATTACCACGAACGGCCCCCTACAAATTTGGGGCAAACTTGCCACTATCTTCACCCGATGCAGCATGAGCATTTCAATAGTGTATTTTTATGTTCCGCTTGCCCCAGTTTCACACAATTCGAGCTTGAAGTGATCTCAAAATGCCTTCACTTATTTCCCTCCAATGTCCTTACATCTTCAACGTTGTTTCATTGCTTTGCGACTAAACTGACTTTATAAACCAAGCTGAGAATTACGAGTGCATGTCATGTCACTAGAGTCAACAGGAAAAAGACTATAAAAGGAAAAGAGAACTAAACAAAAATGACTAAAAATAACAGAAAAATGCATTAGACAGATGGTGAAAGGGTTTGAACAACAAAACAAGCAAACTAAACTAAGTTACAACCCTGGAACAACCCTAGACAACACTAAACGAGTTAC